CCCCTATAAAGCTTTATAAATCACTTCAGAGTGCTGTTTGAAGCAAGTTGCTGTTTCACAAAGAGCAGTTCTTACCTTGTGCGCTAATTCTGTGGCTTCTTTCAAAGTTTTATCCTTATGGACTTCTAACTTTCTCTCCAAAGTCTTATTCTTATCTGAATTAAATCCAAACAGCTTTATCTGCAATAACAAATATTCAAATTGTTCAGGAACGTTTCATGAAAGCTTATGGAAGTTGCTAATACACAAACAGAATTTATAACCATACAACGTTTGTTACTTTCTCTATTAGTTACTTAGATGGTATTAATTATTGTAATACAGTTTCATAAAACAACAATTTATTTTCCCCTGAACCTGAAACATGCATGCATGGAGAATGAATACAGAGGCTTCTTAAAAAAAGTGCATTGTTATAAAAGAGCACTGAGATCAAGCCAACATAAAATCATGCACTCCAAAATTTGTTCACGTTATCAAAGTATTTTTTTCAATCTTTCACAGTTGCCCACATTGGACTTAACACACATGGTTAAGAGACTAGAACCCCCTGATATACATCAGGATGATGTCAGCAAGGTAATAGTATCAAATCCATAGCAATGGAGTAGTAATAAATACAAATACTCGCCTTGCAAGTGTTGCGGTCTAATTCCCGCTGTCTTTTTTCAATTTCTTCCTGTTGTTTCAAGTCTTCTACCAGTGATACAATATGGGGAGGGAAGTCGCTTTCCTTGATGAATGCTACAAAATAAAACACGCATGAATAATGACATTGCAAGTAAGGACAAATAGACCATTTTCCGTTCACTGCGAGAATCACGCGTTATGCGTGAAATCGAACGTAAAAACAAGACAAACAAAGGTCATAGCATCGTAGTCGCGTCAAACATCGCGTGGGATTCGACAAGCGCGAAAGTATTTTGGGGACATTTCCATGCTTAATAATGTGCTGTCCACATTTGATGATAGGCAATTTCGATTAAGTAAGGGTATTCGGAAGCAATATTCCTCTGTCGAAGATCGGCCGGTCAATGTAAGCTACGGCAGACATTTGACGCGCGTCTTTCATGCATCTCGCGAGATCTCGCAATTGTACGGAAAATCACCTATTATTCAGGGTAATGTACATCTCTTCATACCAAATATGAAAAATTATGTTTGTACCTTTGTTTTTATCAGGTTGCACTTGCCTGTACATTAGCATGTAGGCATTGGTGGAGCTGGAATAGGCGCTGGAGTAGTAACCACGGTAACCACTCACTGAGCCGCCATACGTTTTCCTGATATCATCTTGCGTTATTGTTGTGACGTGTTGGTCATTGAAACAATACCACTGACCATCAGTGAAAGATCTGACAATACAGGAAGGTGTAACAATAATAGACTTTAAGTAAAGGGTCGTAGTCATTGCGTTGCGTTCTTTTCATTTTGAGGCTCATAGCGACGTATAACAATGCATGTAAAATGCGTGACGACCACTACCTTTTAACAAGAATAAAACATGTTTAACTGCAGCTCCGGGAGTATAAAATAAAAGACTGACGATTTTCAGTATCCAATCACACACAATGGTGATGCTTCATGAATTCATCAATATGTTTTAATAAATGCAAAATAAGGTTTTAAGTTTACTAGTTGGGCAAGATTTTGGCACAATTCTAGTCTCATGTTATGGGTTGGTGCATATCTCGGATAACAGTGTTTCTTTAAATATATTCAAGTACAATCATCTTTAAATAAATAATCATATTTTCACAGCCACATGAAATTATATGGATCATATAACGATTTCCACAACTGAATGCATTGTGGGAATAGTTTCGTCAGGTTGCATGAATGCTTTGTGTTTGGCTTTGTGAGTTATGTTCGATTCGGTCAAAATTATTGCACAATTCATTATAGATTTGGAATTTCAATAGTGTTTATAGGTACAGAAGAACTGTACACTTACTTGATATAGGCGTAATAATGTCCCCCTGCAGCACTACCAGAATGCACCATGATAGAAAATAATTCATATGATGGACCCTAAGTTAGACAAACGCACGAATGAAGTATTATTACCAATCTTTTCTATTTAGAATATAGGGCAACAAACCAACACAAATGGCCTTTTCTAAGTAGTTGTATTGTAAAATCTGTATTAGAAACCGCGGCTTCTATTGAAATGATACAATAAAACAGAAGGGATGCAGCCTCTATTAGAGCATCTACACCTATGAGAAATAGTGAATTTTTGGTTCTCAATTATTCAAAAAGAATGGGTGCGACTTCTATTAGGGATGCGGCTTCGAATACAGATTTTACGGTAAGTAGGTATTGCTTACAGCTAGTACTGTCTTGGTGTATTCTCCATTTTATCACATATTTTTTTTCTAATTATTACTGAAT